TAACATAACCCCAAACAAATTAACCCTAAGAACACCACAAACTGAATAAACAACTGCAATTTACAGTCCCCGCAGAATGCAATGCGGCCTTGCCGGCCTATCAGTGGCAGGGCCGCCACAATAGAATAGAATAGAATAGAATAGAATTGAGTAGAATAGAGTAGAATAGAATAGAATTCATTAATCCCACAGTGGGAAAATTCACTTGCTACAACAGTACAAACACTTAGAGAAAAGGGAAGAAGAAAATAACAATAATAGCAAGGTTACAGGTGAACAAACATAGGCAATAAGTTATTACTGTAAGCTTCAACCGCTGAAAACCGCAAACAAAAAGGAAACTTGTGTTTCCAGAACTATGTAGCATAAGGGACACACACAGTAATGTACATCTGGCATTACACAAGTATTGAACGTATACTGAGTATTGCATTGATGTTATTATGTAGCAGGATAATGCCAGTACCAGTTAAAATGAGAAGTTATACACTCTAACTGCAGAAGGGATCACTGATCTACGGTCATTACAAACTTTGCCGTTATAGGAATCATTTGCCAATCATGTCAACGTTAAATATCTCGATAAACATAGGATGGATTTTATTGACAGTTATCATTGAGTGAACACCAATTCACTTTTTAGGATCAATCAAATGCATGTACAGCAAATTCTGCATAATACAAAAAATATGCAGGGATGTTTCTCATTTTGTTTAATGAAGTAAAATTTCCTAACCCTAACCCTCGCACTGAGGTCTAAGAAGGCACCTATTTATCGACTCTGGCTCATAAAAACACAAAAGAGTTCCGTTTTTTTATAAATGGCTCAGAGATGGTGAACAGGCGATAGACCATGTTTTTCAACTCACTCATTCACAGAGCAGCAAACCTTGTCTCTGTAGTTAAAATTGGTAGTCCCGCCCCCCAGAAAATCTGACCAATCAGCAAACACAAAATTTTCACCTAACTTATTGTGAAACATTGGGTTTTATTTATTATTCTGTGTGAAAAAAAATCAAACCACACAAAAACTGTAAGCTAACAATACTATGAACTATCCGAGGAAATTAACTACCGATGTGAACAAGCCCGAAAACGTACCCAAGCACAGACTGTGTTCAAATACAGGAGCTGCTTCCTTCAAAGCCAGAATATGGCAAAGCAATGTGAGGAAGGCTCCTATAAATGGAGCCCACAGACACATCCTTTTATCCAAAAGGAAGAGTTTGGATCTTGTAATATAGGTGGACGAAGCGGGATAGGATGACAGTTTTAAAAGTATGTTCAAATTTGGTGTTAGAAAAGTTAAAAGCTGCAAGTGAGTGTGTTGCTTTACTGGAATGTTGCTGTTAATTTATTTGGTTTTCAAACTGGAATTCCTAAATCCTAAAATACATTCTCAGTTAGTCATCTCTTAAAAGAAAAAAATATTTAAAATGTGTTTTGCTGCACTTATTTTATTTCTCCAAACCTCTCAGTCCCTAGCTCGTGTTCCTCTGGTCTGACATCTGCTTTAATTTACAACAATCTAATGTGTCAGAAGTGTAACTATCAGCATCCTGCATGCAACAAGAAGTGTAATCAAAATCTTTTTGGTTTATCATTCATCATCCTGAAACCCCTACTTCACTGTTTGGGTTTTGGTGTGTTGCAACTGCCTTCTGCTCTGAGATAAGTCAAATATGGACCGGACCTTGAATGTTGCTTCAGCAGCAGCAGAGCAGCTGTTTCCCAGGTGTTTGTACGTGTGTGGCTCAACCATCTTGTCTTAATCGCAGCCTCCTCGAAGAACTGGCAAGACTTCCAAAGAAAACCCCTCATTCCATGTATAAAACAGGGCAAAGACACACAAACCACGTAGCCAACAGCACACCGAGAAGGTGTTCTTAAACATTAGTCAGCCAAAAGGACCAGGGGAAAAAAAGACATCATGTGAAAGCAAAAACTCAGGAACATTTCCATACACAAACTGAATGAGAATTTCAGCCCAAAGGTCCACTGAGAGGATCAGTTTGTTTCTCTTAAAGGCAAACTGAAGCAACTAGTCCTGAATAGAGGATCTGATTAAATCCCCTTTGAACTGCTGGCACCACCATCGTGAATCTGCCGTTTCATAAACACAGCCCCACTGTGGCAGCCACAGTGCCGCAAGACAAGTTCCAAGTGCAAGTTTCAACAGCTAGCACGACACACAAGCACACCTTTTTCCCCTCCTGCTGGAGAGGAGAGGCCTGAAACAACAAACCACCAGGCGAGAGGGGCTGGGGGAGAGGGGGGAGGGGATCAGGGAGAGGAGTGAGTCATTTTGCAAACAGAGAGAGCCAAGTTTGGGCTGAAGGTACATTGTAGCATTTCAGCTCCCAACGGCAATTTGTGGGCTTAAAGTAAATGGCATGTAATCACCTTAAGTTGTATTTAATTACAGGCATCAATATTAATATAATTATTAATGATAGTGGTCTAAAGTCTAATGTTTTTAATTGTTGGTTGGCATCTTCCTGCTTTTTATTTGCCATTGGATAGTTTTCACATTAGGCTGTGGAGAGAGAGCAAAAAAGCTCAGAAATGTGCTCTAATAATAAGTAGTTCTGCATCACAGTTACAGGATTGGCTGTGTCACCATTACGAACAGGGTCAATGGTGCTATACGTCATTGGGCAACCAGCTGAACCAGTCCATCACAGGACCACACAGAGACAACCACCTGCACTCACACTATCATGGTGTTTTTTTGGCATCCAATAATTAATTACAGCTGGAAAAATAATCATTCAAGTATGTAGCAGCAAATTAGGAGTGACAACAGAAGTTTGTACCTGGAAAAGTGAACGTGTCCCAGGATCTGAGGCAGAGGAGGGAAAACCTTTACTGCAGACAGCCATTAGGAGGATATTTTCTTTGATTTCTGGTTTTACTTATGTTTACTTTGTGCTGAGAACACACATCTCTGAAGGTCCAGGTAACCAAACGTGTGCATTTTGGTCCGTTGTGGAAAACCATATCATCTTGAGAAACCCCATTTATGGAAGGGGAAACTGAGACTCCACACAGAAAGATCCCAGTCGGGTGTTGAAGTTTTCAAATATAAGGTGCAAGCTTTTGATTGTGATGAGACAGTGCTACCAGTCGCACCAACGCGGAGTCCAATTTCAGAATATTTTATGATTGTAAATAATTCACCTAAATCTAAAAGGGGCAGCAGTAGCTCAGGAGGTAGAGCGGGGGGGGTCTGGTAATTGAAGGTTGTAGGTCAGAAGATGCTGCTGTTGTGTCCTTGGGCAAGACACTTATCCCACCTTGCCTGTTGGTGGTGGTCGTCAGGACCGGTGCTGCCAGTTCTCGCCTCTGTCAATGTGCCTCAGGGCAGCTGTGGCTACACTGTAGCTCGTCATCACCAGCATGTGAATGTGTGAATGGGTGGATGACTGATTGCGTTGTGAAGCACCTTGGGGGGTTGCAGATCCCTAAGAAGGTGTTATAGGAAGCCTAAGTCACGCCCACTCCATACCATGGGTCCCCGGAAGAACGAACAAATGAACGCAAGTCAGTGGGGCTAATTCCATTGGTTACGTGCCATGGATTTCCCATATGATGTCTGTAAATTTTAAAGACACATTTTGATACCAAGAAAGCGCTTATTTTCGAACAGGGGGACACACTATTTTAGGTTTTGTGTAAAAAGAAGTCCAGGACTACAGCTGCACTTCAAGAAATGAACCATTGAACCAGACACGGAGAAAAACAGGGGGAATGGCTGTAAGTTCAGTGAATTTGAAATCCTTCCTTCAGGAGGAAAGAAACACCATAAACCTGGTCATGTGGTAAGTAGCAGCTATGGTAGGGGAGAAGGGATTCTGTGGTGACATCATATATGTGACGTGTCTATGTAGTCATGGTAACTACGAACTTTTACAAGCTGATAAATCTCAAAGTACATGACTGGTGTGGTCGAACACCCATCATTAGTTTTCATTTAAATCGCAGTACAACATGTGCGATACGGGGCATAAGGCAAAGCGGATTAGAAAATAACTCTTTTAGCTCCATTGAGTTGCATTCATTTTTCGTTCTTCCGGGGACCCATGAGCCAACTAGAAAGGGAGGAGTTAGGATCCCCATACAAATACAAAGGGCCATTTACTATTTAAAAATAGATACTACAGGGGTCTGCAGCTCCAGTCCTCCAGGGTTACCATTCTGCATGTTTTACACTTTCTGCTCCACCTCAACAAAAAATTCACCTCCTTACTAATTTGAGCTCTGCAAAAACCTGTTAAACACTCATGTATTCTAAATCAGATCTGCTGGAGCAGGAAACCGCTACAGTTTGAAGAACTATACCCTGAGTGACTAGAGTTGGTGACCCCTGCCCTACCCCCTATGTGCTGCACAAATGAAACATCATTTTGTTTGCTTGCCCAAAAGAGTAAAAGGTCTCAGCCAGGCCAACACTAAAACCACTTTCATGCTCTGCCACTGCTGGGAGATGGCATCTAGCACCTTTCAACTATCAAAGCATTTTTCTTCTAATTTGTCTTTTTCATTGTTTTTAGGATCTTGGAAAAAATCTCGTTTGCAGTACCTTCAATCTGCTCGAAATTTTCAAGATAAATGCAGGAAATGCATAACGGATAATGTTGGTTTTCTGTTTTTTAGTTATAAAAATAAATTTTTCTTGCATATCCAACCAAAAGGTAGGTGATAAAAAGTCAGACAAGTTGGTGTTGTAAGAGTTAGCACAAGTACATTTTATATGAGGTGCTTAAAACTTCAGTATGAACCTTTAATGTCAAATCTATGTGCTAGCAAAATATCTCTTAATGGATTTATTTAAATAAACTCCGAGAAACGATGCTCAGCTACACCTTTTGAAGTAAATCCAATTCAACGTGACCACCATGGATATCTTAGGAAACCTTTGGGAAAATAGCTATAAATCAGTCAGTTCATCCTACAGTCTCACGTAACATCGGGGTCGTCCCCATGACAGTACAAAAATATAGCAGCACACATTTAGGTGTTTTTTATTGTTTACATATGTGCAAAACAATGCCTTACTCAGAGCTAAAATAAATGAATTGGCAGGACTGCAAATATCATTACAAAAAAAGTAGGCAAAAATAATGATCTGTTGATAAACAATTTACAAAATATAATATACTTTATAAAAAATGCATATATTCATCTCTTTTTTCAACTGAATCATTTTTAATTCTACTTTCAGTTTCTGCTGGAACAATTTGTTGTCTTTTACATTCACTCGTTGCACATTACAGGAGTCCTTTATTGCAAAAGTCCAGTGAGGTAGAACTGTTGTGTTTTTGGTTGTCTTCTTTAAAAAGTCACTCGGCTAAGTGCTCATCCTGCGCTGTGTGATGGGATCAGTCCTACAACTGTCAAAAGGCTGCTTGTAGATGCTGTCACTCTGCTCTGATGAGTCTCTGGTAAAGCGATCTTCAAGGATTAAATCAATGTCTGGAGCCGCATACAGATTCTCGTGTAGCGTTCCATTATATGTAACCGATGGAGGGTTGCATCCTGTGTAAAAATCCTTTTGGGGCTTCCAAGGAGCTTTGCCGAATGTTCCTGAGCAAGGAATGAAAGAAAATATGAGATCAAAGCAAAGGCAGCATCGGTGAAGTTCCAAAAATGAATGGGATCAGAGACCTACCCAGGAAGGTGTTGTATGGACTGCTATTCTCATGAGGTCTCCCATAGTTGACCGTTTCTCCCTTTTCAAAGGATGGGCTGAAATCACATTGCTGGTGGGAAAGCTCCTGGTTCTTACTGGTGTTGGGTAGCTGCATCAGGACAGTAGAAGGGCATAGGTCAAAGTACTCGGACAGCAAGAACTCCTTCCTTTTGGTTAGACTGTCGCTGTAGGAGTCAACTGGCCTTTGGTCGAAGGAACCTAAAGGTGGAAGTCAGAGATTCTTAAACTACTTTCTCTAAAGGCTAAGATTGTTTATGTTTTCATCAAAGTCAAGACTTCTACTGACCCGCGTAAACCTCAGGTGGCTCATTGAGATACATGTTATCTCTGTAAATTAGCGAGCCAATTGGACCTTGGTATTGGTAGTGCAAAGGATCGATCGCTGCCTCCATGTCTGCTTCACTTCCTGTATCCAGCTGGCAGAAACCTGTCAGGGTAAAGAGTTGGACTCAGGTCAGATTTCAAGTCACAATGTTGATGATTTTAATTACTTAACCAAATCCTTATAGACAATAATTACTACTGTGTTCATTGAACACAGCCAGTATAATGTTCAGTCTACTTGAGTGAGAGGTATCTCTTTATATATTGCTCTGCCTGAACAATATTGTGACCTCTGATTAACAAAATTCAATTAATTAAATTGCAAATAATGACCAATTACTTGTTTTAGGACTCAAAATTCAAATTTAAGGCTTAGATTTGACATGACTTGCATGTCTTGACTTTAGTTGATTCTGGACCTGCTAAAAAGTACACAACCTTTATCAAAGTTCTACATTCAAGTTAAACAAGAAAGTGCAGGAGGTCGTACCAATCGTGTCTTTAGGCTGAAGGTAGAAACCACTAATGGATGACGCCATGTACTGATGGCTGCTGCCGCTCTCGGATGGCATGTAGGCATCCTGCCGGTCGGCCAGTGTACCCTGGGAAGACAGGTAGCTGGGGATATCTGCGGGGAGGTTGGTCTCATCTGCAGAACAATAATATTTAACAATTAATAGGAAGAAGGGAATCAACTGGAATTGTTTGATTACCAGCAAAATGACAAATATTTCCACCAACCAGTGTTGGTGACACTGCAGTCCTCAGTTCGACGACGGGTGTGGTAGATGATGACCACCCAGACCAGGGATGTCCCAACTACACAGCACACCACAGCTATTATGACAATGCCCACAACTGTCCACTCATCCTCGACTGATCCTGGTCCACTCATTGCATTAATCCCCCCGCTGCCTTGTACCCCAGAATCACAGTTGGGATTTGGAAGAACCCCAAGATGAATGTTGCCCCTCTCCGTACCAAGAGCATTGGACATCTCACAAGTGTACTTTCCTGCGTCTGCTTCTGCAGCATCAACGATGATGAGGAGCTGGTTGGCTGCTGCAAAGAAGTGGCGCTCAGTCACCACCAAAGGGCTGTCATCTTTTGTCCAGTTCAGTCTTGGAGGTGGGCTGCCACCAGCGATGCACTGGAGGACAGCAGTCTCTCCCTTGGCCACAGTACGATCAATGAGGGGGCGCAAGAAATGGGGTGTCTCTGCAAGAGACAAGGCAGTAGTAAGACATTACCGGGTGAAAAGGTAAAGAACCATCAACACAAACAGGCTGAATGATTACCAACTAGCTGAGAAGAAAAAAAGTGGAGCATCTCACCTAGAACGGTTAACGTAGCATTTGCTGAAATAGCTCCTGCGATGTTCTGAGCTGTGCAGCTATAGACGCCAATGTCTTCTGTCTTGACATCTGCGATGAAAAAGACATCATCCTCTGGCATGACGTGCATGCGACGTTCACGGGCAGCAGGAAAGTCGGTCCCTCCGTCTTTCTGCCAAGCAATCTGAGGGGACGGGTGCCCAACGGCGGCACATTCCAGCCGAGCCATCGCTCCAACCCGGATACTCAAGTCCATCGGCATCTTTGTAAAAGACGGAAGCACTGGGAAGAGTATAAAATTAAGTTCTTGAGCGTTACCCATTGAACATACTAGCATGCATTTATGGTTGATGTTTTACTAAACTTACTATGAACAGTGAGTCTGGCCTTGGTGGAATAGGAAGATCCAAAGTGGTTGGAGATGATGCACTGGTACTTCCCCTCACTGGAGAACTCTACGTTACGAAGCTGCAACGTGGTTGTATACTCTGTCACCTCTGTCTCACCTCCTGCACCTTCTTGCACTCGTAGGTGGGCCTGATTGTGGATCTCTGCATCATTCAGAACCTCATTATCTTTCTTCCAGGCAAAGGTCATGGGTGAGTCACTGGAGCTTGCGGCAGAGCACACAAATGTTACGTTGGAGTTTTTGAGGGCCGACTGGGTCTCGGGCTGCAGGGTGATCTGAGGCTTAGGGAAGTCATCTGGGTGTTTAACAAAAAGGAAAAACGTAGTGACTTTTACATTTCCAACGTGCTTTGTCGTCAGTCTTGGAAAAAAAAAAACTAAATTTGGGTCAGTTTGTAAATGGAAAGCATGCCTTGGTGAAACAACTGACATTATAGCATGAGTGTCAAGGCGAATGCATCACTCACCGCACACAAACTCCTCCTGGCTGACAGAAAAGACACTCCTGCCCTTCAGCATCTGCGGGTGGGCGCAGCTGGCATTGACGCAGGGAAGGAAGGTTTGCTCTGCCACCCAGATGGGAAGCCACTTCAGCTGGCAGTCACACAAGAGGCTGGAGGTGTTCAGACGCCTGCCAGGGGGGAGAAAACAGAAAACCTTGTTTCCTCACACAGTTCAAGAAAGTAAAACTGCAGCCTCAGATACATACTTTCATTTCAAGATTTAAGCAAAATGTTCCAATCATGGAAAAGGCCAGGGAAACCCTGAACTCTTTATTAGCAATGAGGTGAGCCCTTTCCCAGTACACCATAATGACTTTCACCTGGTGAGTTTCTGCCTAAACATGGCCACACTTACAGCTCCTCTAGGTTCTTTATCTGAGAGAAGGCGTTTGCCTGGATGGACATGATGGCGTTGTTGCTCAGATCCCTGTGGAAAGACAGAAAAGGGCATCAGAAAAGACAGGGTCTTTGCAGAAGGAGTTCTGTAGACATCCAGTGTTTGAAGTAAGGACTTCAATCACGAGAACAAAAAGGTTTGGGCTCCACAACAATAAAACTCTGAGCTACAGATTGCTGAGTTAATCAAAAGAAGCCTTTGAGGTCTACTTGGAATCAAATGTAGTTGTTGCAGTCAAACACGCACATTCACACGCAGTTGTCGCCACTTGCCTTGATCGATATGGTTTGGCTCACACATAAAGATACTAATGACTACATTTTTTTTTCTGTGCTCCACATTAAAGAGGGGAAGACAGTTTGGATGTCTAGCTCCAACAAACAAACCCTCATGTCTCACAATGATTCAGCCTGCTAGGTTTACAGTTTGGACTTCAGAAAACAAGCAATGAAATACGAGGCCGACTCACAGGTGCTGCAACGCGTCCAGGCCTGAGAAAGACTTCTTGGTCACAGAGCGGATCTGGTTACCCTGCAGGAACCTGGGAAGCAGAAACCCCTGTTTTAGACCTTGATTTTATTTTGTTCATGTGTTCCATCTGGACTAACGTTCCATCTAAACACTCACAATGTTTTCATTTTGTCCAGAGCAGAGAAAGGTCCGTTCATGTCTTCAATGGTCCAGGAGATTTCATTATCCTGGAGATCCCTTTTACAGGAAACAAAGACCAGATTAAAAAAAAAAAAAAAAAAAAAAAAACATCACCACCTAGTAAACAACTGCATTTGTAAAAATTTTGTTTGAAAGACAAAAACTTCTGAGGCAAAAAAATCTGTTATAGCAAATCTACACACCAGCTAAGTTTTGAATGCAAACATGGTAACGAACACTCGGCCCTCCTCTTGGGTATCTTCCCATGAGATGCTGTTGCCAAAACCGGAAACCCACATTGCCACAGTAATAGAGAGAGCACTGAACACCAATCACCGTTTTCTACATTCAAGCATCTTTGTTGTCCGTGACTTCAAATGGTGTTTTTCTTTTGGGGACTCTGGAAGTTTGTCCTAAAGTTGAAGTGGTAGCAGCCGGCTGTTTCTCCTTCTCTGATATTGAGCATAGAACCTATCACACCAGTGGTGTTCTGTTGCTTTATGAGTGCGTTACGAATGGGGGACCCAGAGATGTTCGGCAGTTCGGCGAGACAAGCAATAGGATTCTTCCATGGTTGCTTTCGGTTTAAAATGTGTTATTGGCGGAGGCTTTTAAACAAATGCAAGAAAACCACTTTTGTAAATTTTTCAGGTTTTAAGCTGCGATGTAGCCACAGCTGCCCTGGGGCGCACTGACAGAGGTGAGGCTGCCGAACACTGGCACCACCAGTCCCTCCGACCACCACCGGCAGGCAAGGTGGGTTAAGTGTCTTGCCCAAGGGCACAATGACAGCGACACTGAGCCGGGCTCGAACCTGCAACCTTCCGATAACGGGGCGAGAACTTAAGTCCTGTGCCACCGCCATATATTACACCGATTTGCTGGCATGGTGTATCTTGTAAAAAAGGGCTTTTTCCATCCTAGGAAGTTACTTTCTGGTCTGTGGTCATGATGGAACATGCAGACAGTGTCATGTTAGTGGATTAGTGTTACCAAACGCATTATTGCTGAAGTGATTGGGGAGGGGTTGAATGCATTGGTAACACTTTACAAAATGGGGCCCTTAGTTATTTAGTGCATAATTAAGCATTAATAAACTATTAAATTAAGTATTAACAACAGCTCAAACATGGTCATTTCGTAAATCTTCTGTTCGTTTAGTAAATGGGTTCCCTGGAAATACCAAGCAAACTTCCCATATTAAAATTTTGTTTTGCCATTTTTCCTAATAAACAAAACTTTTTCCACTAAGAAAGAAGAAAAAGAACGATTTTTTTCTCTCTTTTTTTTGCACGGCACCTTTTTAGATAACAATCACAAGGTGCTTCACAAGCACAATGAAAATGTCCAAAAAGATAAAACAAAAAGTCAAACATTTTAAAAGATAGAATAAAAATTAAGATAAAAAACCCAGAAGTTAAAATAAATACTACTTCAAAATATCCAGCACACAACCAAAACACTGTTTTGTATTTGAAACAACCAAAGGAACAGAAATGAGACCGAAAAAAAGTGCCACCATTTATCCTGCTGTTTCACTGAGATCACAGAAAGCCAAGAATTTCCCAGAGAAATTGTCTCCTTTGATGTTTTAGCTGATTTAATTCTTCTAAACTGTTATTTTCCTCCTCAGAGTGTTAGCGTATGGCTGATTGAAATCAGTAAAGGGAGTTTAAGTGTGTTTGTAGAGCAAGAGCTGTGTGTGTGTGTGTGTGTGTGTGTGTGTGTGTGTGTGTGTGTGTGTGTGTGTGTGTGTGTGTGTGTGTGTGTGTGTGTGTGTGTGTGTGTGTGTGTGTGTGTGTGTGTGTGTGTGTGTGTGTGTGTGTGTGTGTGTGTGAGGGGGGTGTCAGGTTTGTAGCCCTGGAGCAATCCCAGTCCACCTCGGTGCACACCTGCCCCAGTGACCTCAACCAGCAAAGCCCACATTTGGTTCCAGTTTGTCCCAACCACGGGAAATGTTCCTGAGATTTTCTGTGGGAAGAGGGAGGATGGGGGGAAATGGTGTGTGGGAGACCAGTTTGGTATGGAATTGTGGGGGGGGGGGGGGGGGGGGGGGGGGGATTTTTAATGCCTGTGTTTGCAGACACCTCAACACAATGATCCATAAACACTCTCAAAACAAATCAGGCAGGATATTTCCACTCAAGGCGTTTACAATTGGTAGGTTCAGTGGGCAAACTGAGCAGCCAAAGCTTGTAGGTACAAAATACCCCCATCACCAACCTCTTCATTCTTAAACTTCATACACGCTGACGTTTTCCACTTTTAACAAATTAGGAATCTCTAATATTTTCACGATTAGAAAAAAACACAGCATGACTTTTGACTCCCCCAAAAGTTCGTCAAGTCTTCTAGTAGGATGTTGCACGAAACTTACAGCATCTGCAGGTTGTAGAGGCCGTGGAAAGCCCTGTCTGCAATGAAGCTCACATGGTTGTTTCCTATGTGGAGTTCATCCAGCAGGCTCAGACCAACAAAACTGGATTCCTCCAGTCTGGACAGATGATTTGAGGACAAGTTGCTGCAAGAAAGGGACAAAGAAATCAACAATGTACACAAGTTACACAATCAGGGAGTTTATATAAATACAAATAATAATTGGTTTTTGATTGATAACAATGATCAGCCTTAAGGAGATAACCTTGAGGTTTGTAAAACATTGCTGAAACACAAACTAAGGGACTGAAAAAGTAAACTAAGATGAGAACAAATCAGATTGTTGGGCCCATTCATGGCCCACTGGCAGTTTGTTTACTCCCAGGTTAACATGATAAGGCAGAAAAAAAAACACTCATCAAAAAGCCCAGTCTTTCTTTGAAAAACACACCACACGCCGTAAACACTGAGCTGTACACAGCCACAACAAAGGAAACTTAATCCGCATTCAAAGACAAAGTATGATGGAATGAGGGGGATCTATGGAGTTAGTGAAAAGTTGAAAACTGTAGAAGCTCTGTCTAAAGCCAGCATTTCACCAGGCTGAGACCTTAGGAGGTAAATTGTGAATGGTGTTGGTGAAGGAGTTTATAAAATGAGATGTCAGTAAAACGAATTAAGCTTATCATAGACAATCCATGCCACCCCACTCAAGACACTATACTGAGACGCAGTGTGTTTACATGCACACCTAGGTTGAACTAGGTCAAACTAAGGTAATAAACTGGGAGCCTTTATCCTAGTTTACATGTAAGTTAGAAAACCTAACTCTCAATTTTGTTCTACTCTGGTACAGTAGGTGGCGACATGCGCCCCTTTGTGTTGGCATTCTTACGGTTAGCTTATAGCAACACAAATAGTAAACGAACGTTGGCAGGAGTGAAGCAGACAGCAGGATATGCACAATGGCCAAAGAAATGGACAACAACAATGCTGCAGCACAGCTGCAGGAGCTTGAAAGCCAAGAAAATTAAAAGAATAGAAGCTTGGACTCACAGATTGCTGAGTTTCTGGCAGCAATCCCAGGCATCAGCTTGGATTCTGTTGATGGAGTTGTGTCCAAGGTGGAGCTGCTGTAGACTCTGGAGGCCGTACAGCCATCCCTTACTCACCTCCGTCAGGTTGTTATAGTCCAGCTGCCTGCAGAGAACACAAATACCAACGCTTTAACACTATAGCTGGGAATCAGACTGGCGTTTTCTGTGAACACAGTGAGCCTTACAGGACTTCTAAGTTGCCGAGGCCATAAAAAGCTCCGTCCATCAGGCGTTTCAGACCGTTTCTCTGCATCTTTAGGAGACGAAGAGCTGGCAGGTATTGAAACGTCAGACCCTCCACACGGCGAATCCGGTTTCTGCTCAGTTCTCTGAAACATCCGGTTTACAGCATTGTTGAAGTTAGAAAAATACAGACCCTTTTTACTTAGAACAAAATAATAATTAAAAAAACAACACAAAAGTAGAGCATACAGATGTTGAAGGTTAGGCAGCTGGAAGATCTTGGCTGAAATAGAGGAGAGGCGGTTGCGGTTGAGCCAAAGAACCTGCAGGGTGCTGGACAGGTTGGTGGACCAGCCATTCTCTAGTGAGGAGATTCGATTGTTGCTGAGGAACCTGAGTGATTTCAAAGGAGAAGAGTTTGTTTGAATGTGATATTTCTTCTGGCACCTGAACTACAAAAGCAAAAACCCGATTCTCACATGCTCCTCAGAGGCAGAGCGGGGAAGGAGCTGGCTTTTACGTCCACAATCTTGTTGTTGCTGAGGTCCAGCGTTTCCAGGGCGAAGAAGGGTCTGAGCTGCTCCTCGGAGATCCTGGTGATCCTGTTGTTTGCTCTGAAAACACAGACACCGTCGCTCCAATAAATTGCAAAAACACCAGATATTTGACTGGTGGCGCACAACAGTTTCATGTTCCCAGATACACAGACGGCAGAGTCCCTAAATTAGGCTGCGGCATGAAAAAAAAGACAAACTCTCACGCGCTTGTAAAGCTAAAACTCACCACCCAACGAGAACTCACTTTTTTCCCTTCGTCTTGCTGTTGCTGCATGAATATTTCATAAACGCCAACAAATTGTTGGATATGAATATTGTCACTGCTTGTCACATCAGAAAACCAGCAGGTTTAGGGATGTGTTATTTTGTTTATAAGGTAATTACCAACAAGGTATTTAAAAAAGTAACCCACCAATTACTTGGCTGATGAATACCATTCCCTCAGTGAAAGCATGTCTCGGCAGAGGCCAGCAATTTCCTGAGCTGCACGCCTCCTAAATTGCAGTGCAGGGACTGCTCAGTTATAAACAGAGTCTTACAGTGCCCTCTTTGTGTACAGGGATCTAGCAGCAGAGAGAGTGCATGGGAGAGAGGGGGGTTTCCTTCAACACACCCGACTACAGGCCCCGTTTTCAGGATTCATTACATCGGTTACTCCTCCTCCTGATACACCTGACCGACCAGGGATTTTAGTTTAGTGGTACAACAGAAGAATGTGTAGCCCTGTTGAAACTGGAGTTGTAGTAGTTAGTGCTCAGTTGTTGAAAGCTGTTCATCCTGATGAGCATTATGGGCCATTTTATAACATTTATGAACATAACTAAGAAAATCTTAAAAGCCCAGTTTGCTCAGATTTTAAATACACATGCATGAGTCTCTAGTATGAATGCCTTATAAGTTATTCTATTGGGGGGGGGGGGGGGGGGTGTTCCAGTGCGCCTGTTTGATGGCGTAGAAGACAGCTGGAGGAGAAAGTGGCAGAATACGGCAGGATTTTGAGTATTATTTCCTGATATTTGTACATCTTGCTGCTGATTGGGTAGCAGCAATGCAACTGACTCGGTTTGCTTTGCATTGTTGACGCTTCATCTCCGCAAATAGCACAAGCCTGGAGGAGTTCTGCTGTGTGGTGGAGTTGCTAATGCTAACGGTTAGCATGTATTAGCTGAGACGTTCTCTGCTGTTTTCTGGACTCTAAACCAACAACAGCCTTCCCCGGTCGTGAGTCAAGATGGGTGAGTCCATGAATGTTCAGTGACAGTGTGACGTAGATCTGTCTGGATTTTCAGATCCTAGAGTTTCACTGTCTGTTTTCTATCAGAAGCTAATGCAGGAGATTGGTGTTGGAGACTATTTTCACATTCAGCCTGTCTGAAAAACTCACAGTAACCAATAATTTTCCAAATTATTAAGTAAAAAATTGGTTTCTTGGTTAACTTGCTCTTTAAATTAAAAAATAAAATGGAACTGGGATTATCTTGTTTCTTGATGTTTCACCTCTCAACCAAGAGATTTCTTTCCTTCTGAATAACGGGGGGAATTAGCTAATAACACAAATCAGACCAGGTATAGTTACAGCTAGCTTCCACATCTACATTCTGCAGGTGTTTGGTTATGGAAAGGATCAGAATTTTCTGGTCAATATGGAGCCCAAGTCTCCTCCCCTTACGGTTGGCTCACGGGTGCCCTGAACTTGAATGTAAATGAATGGGACTATAACGGTAATTTTGCCTTTTGCCCTGAATCACACATCTGTTGTACTTCAATTTAAATGAAAAGTAATGATGTGTGTTTCCACCATGACTTTCATGATCCCATTTACCTTACCCCAGAACCTTATTAAATCCAGTTTGTCTTCAGAAAAGTTTATTTTTTCTGCTTTTATTTTTCCAGAATTCTAAATGATAAAAGCAGAAAAACATATGTAAAAAGAGTTAATAGGGTTCTTTAATCCATTTTTCTTCTTCCGGCTCTTGGAGAGTACATACGCTTTTTTCTCCTCTCCCTCCCTCCTCATCCCAAGGCTCTTTGTCATGTCTTTGTGTGCACGGCGCTTTCGGCATTTTTTTCTGGAAACTGGAAATTATTAAAAATGGATCTGGTCAGTTGATCTCTCAATGCGATTGGCAACATTTTTTCAACGATGAGAATGGGAGAAGGGGATCCCGGATGCCCCTCTGGGACAGAGCCAGCTGGGTATATCATGGCCTCCTGGAAACAGTGGAACCTGATATGCCTCTCTCAACTCTCTGTCGAGGATTCTGAAGATGTTTGGATATTCGTCGTTTTGGTGTCAGGATTCCTGCTGTTTGGCCTGAGCGGTTACCTGGCTTAACGGAAAATTAACGATCTTTGAGGAATATTGGCTCAATCCCGGAGCTCAGGGATGGAATGCATCGTGCTGTGAATGCACAAACCCATATAATTGTCGAAATGAGTCGTAAGCTTGGAACTTTGGCTGAGATTCAGGCTCTGGCACAGAAGGTGGATTCCATCAAGGAGCAAGTTGACGGATCAGCACGGATTGGGATAGATTAATTACGCCATTATTGGATCTAGAGGGGTTGACGACCAACAGAACACCAAGGCAGAGAGGAAATTATCTCTGTCTGTCCCCAAATAATTCTTATCTGAATCTGGTGCCCTTGGAGCCTGTGAGGCTGAAGTGTAAACTCCCCTCAAAAGAAATGTGGAATGCTGCCGTCAATATGGAAACTCTTTCACCCTATCGCAGCCTGGGTGAGACTGCGACCGGTGAAGGCCGTGGAACGACTGTATCTAGGAGTCAATGTGCCCTCTAACCCATTATCTCCCTCCCCTGTCCAAACGGAGGCGATGAGCGCTGCTCCATGCGGCTGCACGCACTGAAGTGAGGAGAGTCCCAACCCTACCTCCCCACCTAGTGGACACTTATGTTGTGTAATGTCTGAAGTCTGTGTGTATATCTGTCTGAGGTGTTTTTTTTTTTTTTTTTTTTTTTTTTTGCATAGCAAAGCTACCCTCTCTGTTGAGGGTAACTCTGAAGTACCTTTTTTTCTCTCCCCGACTCTATCCTTATATTAACCCTCTTGATCTATTAAGGTAGGGCGACTCGGGTTGCGAATGACCACAGTCACCAATTCTTGTCATGTGTCTATGTATGTATGTATGTCTGATCTCAGAATTGTGTGTACTGAAACTCTAATTTCCCTCTGGGATTAATTAAGTATTTTAGAATTGAATTGAATTTCCTTCGTCTGATCTGACCTTTCACCTGTTGGAACTGTGTGCACACACCAACCTTTTTATCACACAGCCTTAATGTGTGTGCCTAGGTTTCCATAGAAACAACCACTGACATCCAGTAGGCATGTGTAAATAAAGAAGATTACAGTAAGCCTGGACTAACTTGGATAACTTTATCTGCCTCAGACGTAGACATGCTTTTGGGCATCACCTTTGGCTTACATCATTTAAGTAAAATAGGTCTACACTTGCTTTTAGCTAATCTTCAGACTAAAAAATGGTGCAGGCAGCCCTTTGTGTTTAGAAATGTATAGAGGCATCTCTGCACCACCACCTTTAGTCCCAAACAAAAGTGCTGACACCACTTTTATCTCAGTTTCATGTTCCCCTTTGGAGAAGGCAGAACCAGTCGGACTCGTTTTATTCAAGGGAGAAATAAAATCACAGAAGAAGAGGCTCTCTTCATGATGAAGGCATCCATCTGCATTAATTTTAACAACAAACTCTCTAGTACGAAAGTAAATATTCCTGGTGTATAATTACCAGGACATTATGGGCTTTTCTATGGGTTTTTGTTCACAGTGTAAATATGTGGTTCCTTGCCTCGTGAATACTACAGTACTATGTTGTCAAACTTTCAAACCCTTGGAAATATCAAACTTAAATTCAGCGTTTTATAAATAATTACATATATTTAAATATTTAGGTCCACTGAAGAAAATGAGCTTAGTTTCATTCACTGATGGCTGACGACTTTGCATAAAGCTCCACTGAAGCTACAGAGTCATGATGTCATCAAGCACAGCAGCTCTTACAACCAAGAAAAGGAAAAATGCTCATTCTCAAAAATGTAACAAGAGATTAAATAAAAATGAAGCTGACATGCCTGGCGCTGCAGTCTGCTTCCAGCAAGTTTCCTGCATGTTTTAGATCACGAACACAGCTAATGTGTTTAATGTAGTGGTGAATCACTCCTGTAGACAGTAAGGAAGGCTGGGAGATGTTTCAACTGTTAGATTAAGGTGTTAAAAGATGAATGCACAGCGAGGAGATGTGGTTTTGGTTTTAAAAGCCCAAGTTTAAATAGTCCAAAGTTGATGCCAAAGCCATTTCAAACAAGCTGTTGTCATCTTAGTTTCGCTCGGCTGCAGTAACATCCTGCCCCCCCACCAAACGCTGTGATTGGCCCACCAAACTGACAGAACGCTGTGATTGGCCCACCAAACTGACAGAGTGCTGTGACTGGCCCACCAAACTGACAGAGTGCTGTGATTGGCCCACCAAACTGACAGAGTGCTGTGATTGGCCAGTCACCAGGCTGGCCGGGCCTGCATTGGGTCCAGTGGAGTGTGGCTGTACCCGACATGCAGAGCAAAATAATTTTGGTTCCACTTCCATCTAATTTTAAATTACTTGGGGTGCATTGCTATATACTTGCAATATAAATTTGAGAAAAAGTTGCCTTGCCTTAGCCACACACACATTTGATTATTCTAAAATGGTTTATTAACCTGAAATTTCCGAATTCACCGATCCGGACTGAAGCCATTTTAGTGAGAGGTGGGAGTAACGACAGAAGAAGTTCAGTGGTCCTATATTTTCCTTTTCCTATATCCACCGTGAACAAACATCTGCACCAACATACAGAGGTTGTATTGGAATGTTGTTATATTAGTTTATGAGCACAGCTCAGACACTTTTGTTTCCAGTCTGAATCTCCCACTCCTACAGCTACATCTCAAGAAGAAATGGGATGCCCTTTCTTCTTGGTGTGAACAAACCAAAGGCTGAAGTATCCAAACATCAGCCCTGGCGCTTCACACACAAACAAA